AAAAAAAAAAAAAAAAAAAAAAAAATCTATATTCAAATGAAGTTTGATAACCTACCTGCAAATTCAGGGGATCTGTGCTGCATCTTCGCAATCTCAATCTTCACCTCTTCAAATTCGATCCCATTAACCCTTTTACACAAAAAAAAAAACCAAGAATAAAAGTACTACAATATATTATCTTGAAATTAAACTCCATTAACGAATCAAGAAAGTGTACAAATACGAGGAATCTTACTTGCAGAAAATAAGAAGAGCCCTTGAAGGTTGGGACATGCGATCTACATACAGTTTAAGCTCCATTTTTGCAAGAAAATTTTGGCTATGTCTTTTTTTCTGTAAAAAGGGAAAAGCAAAACTTGAAGAAGAACAAGAACAGTGATTCTTTTAGAATCAGTTTGTGTCTTTAAATCATAAAAGTCAAGACATAATTGGTGGTGCTCATTTTACTTGGTCCTCTTTAAGACTTTTTCAAATTTATTATTATTATTTATTTTATTTTATTTTATTTTTTTGTGTGTAATTGTCTCCTCAAATCTGACATAAAATAAATTTAATTTTGTGTGCAGTGATTTGTAGGTAGGAGATGAACTACATGTGCAAAGTGCAATGTAGGTTTGATCAATAAAGTCAACCAAGTAATAATAAATAATAATGGAAGATGATCTAATTATTATGTGGGACGGTGGTACAGTTGGGTATTGAGTATACATGAATTATTAGTTAATTATTTTAGTGTGTGTGTGTGTGTTTTTTTCCTTGAAATGGCAAATTAGTGAATACCCCGTGCGAGATGCACGTGATACATATAATAAATCAATTATTTCTATAGCACTTGTACGTCTAGACAAAAAACAATAGCCTTCGATCATCCATATTTCACATATTTTAATAAGTGGCGGTTAATTAAGCCAAAAAATTAACATGTTAATTAATATATAATTCCGATAACACGTCATACTAATATTTATTTGATTTTAGAATACATATTTATTAATTGACATAAGAAAAAATAAAAAAATTATTAATTATTGTTCACCATATAATACTCAATTATTATTTTATTATAAAATTTACAGTTGTATAATGTAATTATTATTATTTATAAAATTTATAGAAGTAGTCTTCTTTATGTAATGAAATTCAAAATAAAATTTTTAGTATAAATGTTTACAAAATACACACACATATTTTTTAGAATTCAATTTTCTCATAATAATTCTTTTTTTTAAAAAAAAAAAAAAGGATTTAGCAATTGCCAAAAAATAAATCCCTTACATAATCAAGAGATTTTTTTTTTTAATTTTCATCCTAAGGCTTTATAGTTTATTTAACATACTATGCAATAAAAAAATATTTTACAATAAGTTCATTTTTGAAACATAACAAAAAAAAGTGATATAAACACTATCATAGTTGACAATAATATACAAATAAATAACATGTCGAAATTTTAAAGAATAACTAATATAATTTTATTATCTAACCATCAATAAAATCATGTAATGATGTGATCATTATCTTTTAAATAATAAATAATATTAATTTTTTTTAAAAAATATTAGTGTTCTAAATTAAATAAAGGTTAAAAAATGTTACTATCAGTAAAATCATTGCATAAATTATTTAAGGAAAAAATATTTAAGATCATATTTGGATACTAAATATAAATATGCAAGCATTTAATACATATGAAAAAAAAATTTCAAATAAAGTATGCATTAAATGTGTGTTGACTTTTCTTGCTACTGTGGTAAATAGGTTGGCTTTTAATATATATACTAGTACGTATCCCGTGCGATGCACGGGTCAGATATGTTAAATGAGTCATTTTAATAAGACATGTCCGTTTAGGCTTAAAAGATAATAGAGTTAGATCTACTTCTTGTAATCAAGTTGTTTTTAAGTCATCACGTTAAACTCGAGCATATTAGCTCTAGTCTATAATTTAATATATTATATGTAGAGTCATTTATACTAATAAAAAATAATTTTCGTATATAAGGGTGATTGTCCTTGAATCTCCAAAAAATTATGTACCAGTTTTTGTTGCTTTTTCGTATTAGTCATTACGATGGGATGATGACTCATTATATTTCTAAAAAATCAATAAAAGTCAATTTTATTATTGAACATATCATTAGAAACAAATCAACAGTAAATTTAAAATATAAATTAACAAAATATATAAAAAAATTGTTTTTAGTAATACTGTAAACAATTAGTATTTTCTTTAATTATTAAAAACAGTTGTCAAGTAAAAGAACACTAACAATAATTTTAGAGACCATCACAGCATGACAACCAAACAAAATCTGACACTAATTTAATTTTGGCCCAATACTATTATATTTTTGGACATTAATAATTAACCCATATGTTCGGTCCAATGCGCCTATTTTTCCATGCCGTAATAGGTGGCCCACGTACATTAAATAAAAACGTTCACACCTTTAAAAATGTCCCATAAAATTGGCCCAATATACATTTATGTGAATGAATCTAGCCCATAAATATATATATGTATATACCACATCGGACAGTTTAAATTTGGTCAACACGACCCAACTTCGCCTATAAAAGGCGACAATTCCCATTTTTTACGGTTTTCCTCAAACCACTGAGCCGATATTTATTTATGTGACATTTTCCCATGTTTATCGTTTCAAAATGAAAAACGATCACAATCCCTTTGAATAAATTATTTTTCATACAAAAAATAGATAAGTAGTTACAGATTGGGTATGACACATTGGTAATCCCACAAATTATGGGCAGCATTAAATGCTGGCCAATTTTACAGGCAAAAAAACTTAACCAAATTGGTAAGTATTTAATGCTGACCGGATTTGACCTGCAGTTGACCTGTCATTTTTGAAAAATGGTATCTTATTATATAGATATAGATATTATGTATGTATGTATGTATGTATGTATGTATGTATGTTGTTGTGTGGCGGTTTTTATTGTTTATTTCATATAATGTAAAGGTTGAAATCATAACAAAGAATCCCAAAAACTGAAACAATATATTTGCATAATTTAAGGTCATTAAGAAATCGATCTCCAAATCAGATTTGATTTTGAGAATCTGTGTCTTATTTCGAAATTCATACAAAATGGGATTCTATCCGACCAATAAATGTCATAGCAAAGATTAACTCTTAATATCAGTGCATATCGAGCAAATTGTGTACATATTTTAGAAAATTAAAATGATTCATGTTAGGTAATTTTACATTTTATGTATGTTGTTGCACGGGGGTTTTTTAATATTGTTTCATAGTATGTAAAAGTGTATTATTTGATTTTTATGAGATGTTGAATTTTAAAATTAACAGAATTATTCGTAATAGGAATTTTAAATGTAATAGTATTCTTTGGTATACACTATTAATAAAATCTATATTTAAAGTTTATATTTTTTGTTTTTAACCTGATAAAATTCTTTAATTTAAAGAATCACATATATCTTCAATCAGTCTGCATCTATATACATTCTTCACAATTTTAAATTTTGAATTTGATGAGAATTCGTACCTGTGAGTGCAAAATATGGTTTAACAAATTAAATTTTTATTATTATTTCAGCCATACTTCTTTATACAATTTTTTGTGAAAATACAAAAGAAAATTCTTAATTTTAAATCACTCGTACATTAAAGTGTACAAATTTTTGAAATTACAAAAGTAGTTTTTTTAATTTAAATGAAATGTAAATTTAAATAAGCCATAAACAAAGATAATTTGTTTTACTATTTAAATACTAAATTAGTCGTCATTAATGTTGTTTGTTTATTTGCCATAATCTTCTCCAAACTAAATTAACAACTACCATGATTTAAGGGCTCCATTTATGATGCTCGATTTTTTGTCCAAAAAAACAAATAAAAATTACTAAAAGTGGTATGTAATTAATGTAAATGAATTTTGACTATAGTTTGACCTGCTATTTTTGATAAATGGTAAATCTTTTTATATATATATAGATATATATATACTATTATAAAATCTCGAAATAAATACAACTGGTAACCAAATGGTTATAACAACGTGAGGAGTCACTAAACATAGTGCACACACTTCACAAAGGACTTAACCCTACAAGAAACTTCAATATTAAAAGAACTCGACAAGAGGGGGCACGGGATCTGCTTTTTCTTCTACAAGAGGGAGAAGGGAGTTTTTTCTGTTGTTAAAGTGATTATTTGGACATGGTTTCGAGGAAGATATGAATATTTTTTTTATAAAGGCAAAAATACATTAATTGTACTCTCTCTTCTTCATAATATGTGTCGTTTTGAGATAGATTTTTTTTCTTGTCAATAATAATCCTCTTTAATGAAAATTAATAGTGTGAAAATTAAGAGTAAATATAAAAATAACATAATATATTTATTAGTTAAATGACGATAATAATGAAATATATATATATATATATATGTACAAAAGATTCAAAACGTAATTTATTTGGTTAATGGTTGATAAAACTAAAATGACATTTAAAAAGAATAGGAGAGAGTATAGATAGTCATATGTTTTTAATATATATATATATTTTGGTACAAGAAAGGAAGGCAAGGCCTAAGCGCCTAACGCAAAAATGTTTCTAAGATGAGCGACACTCATCCTATTCAACGGGTTTGTGATGAATATTGGGTTTTGCTCGATTGTTGGAGCGGAGCTTTGGGGCTTATTTCAGGGTCTACTTCTTGCTTGGGACATTGGTGCTCGTAGGATCACCGTTGAAGTTGATAATAAGGGCATTATTGAGATGGTGAACCACGAGTGTTGCTGTGGACCGCATGTCGCTTTGGTGAAAGGTATACTCGAACTCTTGTCTCGACAGTGGGAGGTGCACATCGTTCATGGTTATCGGGAAGTCAACTTTGTAGTAGATTATTTAGCCTCTTTGGCGACAAAGTGTCGAGACGGTTTACAAATATATATATATATATTTGTCTAAGCACTTCCAACAAAAATCAATCGGCGGTGATCTGATTTCTTAACAAAATCAACCAATTAGTGGACAATTGGAAAAAAGTGTCGTGAGCAAATTTTGAGTCGACTAATCACCAATTTCGCTCTGTTCAATTGCTCCTTTTTTTTTCAAATGCTCTTTTTATTTTTATTTTTTATTTCCAAACCATAGAAATTCTCATTAATCAAACAAATGAAAACAAAGTTCGATAGAAATGATCTTTTTGTTCAATTGCTCTTTTATTTTTTTCATTTTGATTCCATTTTAACTTTCTTCTTTTTCTCTGCAAGCTAGC